TATGGTATCAAGGTGTATTTTGCTTCTTAGATGTTATCAAGCACCTGACTTTTATATCAAAAAAAGAAACCTGGAAAGAAAATTTACAGACACAGACACAATGAGTGACCTGATATGATGATATTACCAGATGTTTCACCTATAAGTGTGAATGAATGCACATATTACATAAACAGTTACAAAAACTTATATATAAAGAATTAGAAGTATTAGTCAATGTGTTTAAAAACATCTGTTACTTGTAAGAAATAATTATATCTGGGTTAAACACAATCCATAAGACAAAAAGTTTAATAATTTCCTTATAAATAAAATCTGTGCAAACAAAACAATTCCCAGAGATTATAAGTAATGATGTTTTTAGAATATTGTGATAATTTTATTGAAGATGAAATACAATGTTTCTTCTTTAAAATAATTCATTTTATTATAAATAAAACAGACTAATTAAGTCAACATGATAAATGTTCAGTAAAAGAAAGAATAAAAAGAAGAAAAAAAAACAAAAAAAACAAAGAATATGTACACATTATAACAATATATTATAGGATATGTTAAATAAAGCAGTATCATAAGAGAGAAAAAAAAAATTACTTCCTTGTATGAGGAAATTTAAGGGTGTTATTTCGGGTGACCTCAATTCAAATCGAGAGAGACCTCTCAAGATTTCAATATCCTTATAGGGGTGTATCACTAAATATATATTAATATTCAAATACATAATGAAAAAACAAAAAAAAAGTGTATAAAAGATTGCTTTGGTATGTATTAAACACTTTTCATTCTCACATGTATATTATCTCTTTATATTTTTAGGGTGTAAAAATAAACTTTAACTCCTTCGAAACTAATTTCTGTTGTTTTATATCTCTACTCACTATTGCTAAATGCCATTCAAAGATTTTAATTTCTGTTGGTTAAGATATTTGTGGAAACCTTTAGGATATATAATTTTTCATTGTTGTTTTGTAAATATAATATTAAGTTATCAAAATAAGGAGGTTTGTTATTTTCTAATCGTTCAAAGGTCTGAATTCATCAGTTATGTTGATTATTAGTTGGATTTAATATTGATATTAATGTTAATTGATAGTAAAATACCATAAAGTTCATTCCATATTGATTGACTGTTGGTACATTCTATAAATAAATGTTTCAAGATTTCAACACTTGCATGACAGAATGTACATAGACTGGATTCCTTCATTTTCATCCTAAAAAGTTGCTTATTTGTCGATATATCCCTATGAAGTAGTTTGTATTGAAAATTCTGAAAATCAACGCAAGGACAGACTTTGTATGGTAATGAAAATATATTTGATAGATATTCTTCGTTTAATTTATAATATAAATCTTCTTCCAATTTTCTAATAGCTTTCAGTTCAGTATACTGCTCTGATTTAGGTTGTTTATATACAGTCAAGTAACCTAATTGAGTGGTGACATATTTTTCGTGGATTTCCGGAGAGAATTAATAATTGATATGTGCGACCTTGTGCAACCTTGCGTGACCTCCACGTTTGCTTGTTTTGATAAACATGGGTTTTCTGTACAATATCAATTCAGTAGTTTCAAGCAAGGTAAAATGTATTAATGTATACTTTGACAAATACAAAATGGCAGATTTCACTAATTACCAAACGTCACCATTTTTTATCAGCTGAATTTCATTATAATCCCGAGCGGTAATCGGAATTCCAAGTATCGTCTGCTAGAATGTAGTTCAACGAATGAAGTCACATGATCAACTAGCAGATTCCGTGTCAGCAGAAAATTTCTATGGAACACAAAATGGACCATATTCTTATATTGTTTCAGTGACTTTTAGCAATAAATCACGCTACGTATCTTATTTTGTCAGTCACTATTTTTTTATTTAAGATCGTGGTTCTTTGAAGGAATTGTCACTAGTTATAATGAATTGATATTGAAGATAAATACTAAGAGAAGTTAATTATATCACCCGGTATCCATACGTGTTTTTCTGGACTTATTTATAGATCAAACATTGTACACGAAAATAGGTGACGCATTCTGCCGCCGTTGCCGAGTTGGTTGCTCATAAAATATGGGTCAAAGTGAAGGATTCATAAAGAAAATCGAAATAAACCAATTTTAATTATTTTGTGAAATATCTGAGGAAACATCTAAGACATAAAAAATTTGTTTTTTTAACTTTGACAAAATTTGGTGTTGAATCCTTATATCCACGAAAAAAGGTTACACCACTGTATGTCTTTACACTTTATATCATTGTTGATTTAAGATAGTTTCTGTGACCATCTCAGTTAAATTTTCGAAAGTTTTTTTTTTTATTGCTATTATAAAGAGTTTTGTGTAGTGATTTTCATAGTTGGCAATCTGTATAATTTTAATTTCATTCACTAATAATAAATTTTCAAAATTTTTATCTTTATACATATCTTAATTAATATTTATCTTCCAAATTTAATAAAATTGTGATAATATTAGAATATTATAATCATAATAACAGGCTAGTAGTAATATTCCATATTTAAAGGTCCACCTTTTCAACATCTTTGGTTACAACTTCCCTTTTAAGTTTGTCAGTGCCTACATCCCATAGAAAGGAGTAGATGAGTTTATTGATTTTATTTTATATTTTAATTTAACATGAAGTCACTTTATACTTGAAGAACTGAAGTTGGACATAGCAAGATTGATGTATGGTAATTTTTTAATCAATTTGTACAGACTGTACAAAAAAAAAGTGTCTAAATAATTAGCATAATGAAATTTTTGTCATAAAAATATGTCGATAAAAATACTAATTTTGGATAAAATTACCAATAAAAAATTTCAACTGGAAATTACTTTATACTTTAAGGGATTGCCTTATTCTGTTGTTAGAGAAGAAAATCAGGTCATGAACAGGCCTAATACTCTTTTGTGATCACAAATGGGAAGAGAAAATGTCTTCTAGCATCAAAGATATTAGTGATTTAGTGACAGTTTTTCAGAAACCAAAGGACATTCCCAGTCAATAAAGATCATTGTATAGGAAAATGTGCAACATGACAATTTTTAACAAAAGAATTGGCTGCAAACAGGTTCAATTTTTAGCTTGTTAACAGTGGCAATTTAAGGAAGGGGGTGGGGGGTGGGGGCTGCCAAAATTGTGTTAAATGCAATCCCCAACTTAATAGATTAGACAATTTTTCAATGTTTTTCAATATTTTTCAATTTTTATTTTGTTGTATATTTTACATTTACATTGTTACTGCCAAAATCTAAATACTTTTGACAAAATTTTTTTTATTTGTATTATAATTGTCTACAGAAGTGCAAACAGCCAAATAGCAAGGGTTGAAATGTCCAATTTTCATGACATGTTTGAAATGCTTTTAAGACATTTTTTAAAATATAGCTTGCCAGGCAAGGTAATATACACCCACTGATAGCTTTGATTGTAAGTACAAGTCTTTGTTTGCTGCCAATTCAATTGTAGCCTGTAGAGTGAGCATGAGTTGCACAATATAGCTAATAGATATAAATATAACACCATTTAACGATTATCTAATCGTCACAAAAATCGATAGGGATCATCTTCATAATGACGTCAAGTCAGGCACGATATTTCGGTGAAAAATTATCCGATCATCACGAAAATCGAGAGGGAACATCTTCATAATGACATTGACAAACAAAATCAAAATAAAAAGAATCTGTAAAGAATTATAGCCTGTAGAGTGAGCACGAGTTGCACAATATAGCTAATAGAGTAAAACGTCAAGTCAGACATGATATTTCGGTGAAAAATTATCCGATCATCACGAAAATCAATAGAGATCATCTTCATAACAACATTAACATACAAAATAAAAATCAAAAGAATCCATAAAAAACTGTAGCCTGTAGAGTGAGCACGAGTTGCACAATATAGCTAATAGGGTAAAACGACAAGTCAGACATGATATTTCGGTGAAAAATTATCCGATCATCATGAAAATCAATAGAGATCATCTTCATAACAACATTAACATACAAAATAAAAATCAAAAGAATCCATAAAAAACTGTAGCCTGTAGAGTGAGCACGAGTTGCACAATATAGCCAATAGGGTAAAACGTCAAGTCAGACATGATATTTCGGTGAAAAATTATCACGAAAATCGTTAAGGATCATCTTCATAATGACATTGACACACAAAATCAAAATAATCTGTAAAGAATTGTAGCCTGTAGAGTGAGCATGACCAAATGTGAACAGACGGACAGACAGGGTGATTACAATATAACCTGAATCACTTGAAACGTAAAAGTTCTAACTGAAGGGTAGGACCCTAAATATTCATGATATGCACAACCAGTCTCAAGAATTCAGTATTTCATATAATAATTCCATATTTTCATAACATAAGATAAACCAGTCAATGCAGTTAAAAAATAATTTATTACATATTTAATAGTTATGATTTGTACATTCATTCTGCATAAATTTTCCATCATACAAACCAGTTCTCTGTAGCATTCATTGGATTTTAAAGAGTCTTGAAGTTGTATTCGTCTGGATTCTTTTCGAGATCGTGAATTTATGTATCATCCCAAAAGCAGCAGCTTGTTACATTTGAAACAATCAGTCAAATATAAATTATCCACATTGTATCTATTGTGACCTACATAACATTACACAATGAATCATCTCTCAGACAACCAAGACCCTTATTATTTATTTGATATCAAAGCACATAGGCTCCTGACATGTAACAGTTTCATATTAACTTACTTTGCTATGTCTTGATTGGCCCTACCACCCTCTCTGTGAAATATTTGTTTTCTTTATATTCTCTTGCATCCAGTCCCTCATTGCAAGGTTGCCGCCCATAACTTAACCAACCAGACGAAAGCCTGTTCCCTAATCCATTTGTCTTATGAATAAAATGTTGTTTACAAAATAAAAAAACTTAACCAACTGTTTGCTTGGAATTATATACTCACTGAGGATTGGTGCACTACACAGACGGATTTTCTTCATTTTAGATTCGAGTGAATTCTATCAATCCAACAGTAACAATGACTGATATGGGGAAGAAGGCATGGGGAGATCCAAAGGTAGCAGATCCTGTACTAAACAGAATTCCAACTGGTCGTTTTGTAGGTATGTATTAAAGTATAAGAAGTAGTTTCAACACTTATGTGACTGTTATATTTTGATGGATGTCAGAAAACTTGTGCTAAAGAGAATATTGTTGTTAATTTTTATTATCTCAATTAATGCAGGTATTCTTATCATTTGACAATCTATAAACTCCATATCTTATTATATTTCCATACAAATAGATAACTATGAGTTTACATAGAGGCTTTTTGTTATTATTTCATTATATTTACATTTTTAATATCTCTACCTTCTTTGAACCAGTAAACCAATCAGTATTTATGTTTTCGCAATACTGTAGTTGGTCATGTTTTAATATGGCATATGAATACATCTTAAAGCAAAACAATGACTCACTGTTGTTAAGGACAGATTTGTGTTAAATAAAAATAATACATCAGAGAATGAAATTTGTACAAATAGAAAAACTACAATGAATTGCATTTACACACCAATAATATATTGAGAACTTTTAATTCCCAAATTTAACTAATGTTTGGAGTGATATTTTTAAAAATATTTTCTTGTCGTCATTAGAGCAAGCTGTCTTTCAAACACTTTATCAGGTTTAATTAGATTCATTGTCAGATTTTAGCCTGTCATTTGGTGAGATAAGTTTTAGCCTTAGTTATATGATATGATTTAAAACATGTAGTGCTAATGAAATTTCGGTGACATATATGTAAAAACAGTCAAAAAGATTCAAGTCTATTCAAACCTCAAAGTGTGTCAAATAATTAATGCAAGCAGACTTCCATAAAGAAATCAAAGCAGGTTTAGTTATTCATTGTTTCAGGGCAGATTATGGCAAAGAAGACAAAATAAAATTTTTTTTTTAAATTTAAAATATGAATATGATATGATGTTAACAGTAAAAAGTTTTTGTCTCATAGAAAAAAAGACCCTATGTTTGGCCTTGACCAATTTACCACATTTTGACAAAGTTACAGCCTTTTGAAATATATTGAAACATGCATCAGAAAAACTTCAGCATTTTAGAGGGACTCTGTTGCTCAAGTAAGAGTGAATAAGCTGAGTTTTTCTTACCTCAAGAAATCGTTTCTGTAATCTGAATTTTAAACTGTTTTCAAATATTTGTGGAGTTAGTGGGCACTATAAATGCTGAAGTAAAATTTCTAGAAGTTGTAGTATGATAAACCATAAATATATAATCCATTTTGTTTCATCTCATCTACTAGGAGTGCAAAATTTATATCAGAGATTTAACAAACAATATTTTTAATTTAGTGTTTCTGATTTATTTCAGTTTTTGTGTTCATTGTAAAATGATTAATCATTATAATGTTGTTATTTTTTTGTATTTTATTTTATAATTACAGAAGTGGATGATGTAGTGAATGCTGTTTTATTTTTACTGAGTGATCAAGCAGCAATGTTGAATGGTGTCCATTTGCCATTAGATGGTGGATTAACAATACATTAATAAAAAGGCAGTGCCTTATCTTTTCCCGATGCCAATCTTTTATGCACTAAATAAAATACATCAACCATTTTCTGTATATTTTATGTCAATATTTAAAAGGATTAGTCCTAAATTCAACCTAAACTGTCAACACCACAATTGCAACTCGGTCCAATTTCAGTTATGTCAAGGACAACAGTTAAAAAGTAACCAACAAAGAATGAAATATGAGTTTTCCAATGTACATACACTTTCCGATAACAAATATGACAGTAGACTATATCACAGACAATTTTCATGTTGTCAAGGGAAATCACATAATCACAATGATCAACTAAAGATCTAACCTATATGGAACTTCAAAAAAATAGATGGAACCTGGTAGGCCTACTCACAGAACAACAATGCTAAAATCAACACTGTATATCAGTGAAAAAAAAAATCACCAAAAATCAATTACCATGGTAATAGACCTGATTAAATACCAAAAGTGCAAATCTACTCAACAAAATGAAGATAAACAACTCATTATAAAATTTGGTGTCTGAAACAATGAGAATCCGTTAATTTGTCGCACCTTTTAGTAAATTTCTCCAGGACTGAAAGTCGGCACAGAATCAAAGGAGGCATGATTTTTACTATAAATAGTATCGTAGTCATAGATTGTGCTAATACTGAAGTGGATAGCAACATTTCGGGGAGAGCAGCATGGATATGTACGGAGATTATTTCGTTTTAACGAAATACCCTATGTTTATTTCGTTTAAACGAAATAATTAATTCATTTAAACGAAATAACTAATTCGTTTAAACGAAATAATTATTTCGTTTAAACGAAATAAAAAGATGGGTTAATTATTTCGTTTAAATGAAATAGACGAAAAAATTAATTCGTTTAAACGAAATAATAAATAAATATGTTTACAATTGCGCCTTAGGGGCTCCGTAGATATGGCCTTTGTGGTGGAAAAAATTAACATTTAACAATCGAAATACAACACTCCTTTTTGTAACAAAATAATAACAACTTTTAAAGTGATACTACATCTTAGAATGAACATAAAATTTAAGTTCTCGAAATGGTCAATATGAGTATATTTTTTATCAGTGAACTTACCTGGTGTCATAAAGTTACAACAGAATCCCTGTAAAATCTGTAAAATTCATAAAACTAAGTAATTATTGAAAAACTCTTAATCTTGATTGCATATTTATGGATAATTACTAAGTTTTTTGGATTTATTGGATTATATAAGGATCCTGTTATTTATGACACCAGGTATATCTACTGGCTATTATTCGCCAAGTTTAAAATTCTTAAATTTTATGTTAATTCTTAGACATAGTATCACTTGAAATATCCCTTTCCGTAAGAGAAACCGCAAACCCGAGGTTTAAATATTATTGGTTGGTTTAGACTTCTTGAAAATGTAGACTTATGTCTAGACTAGAATGTCATGGGAATAAATATGACAAATGCAAGTATTTCATCACTTCGAAAATAACATTGAAGATATCCTGAGTAAGAAAAGCCATTATTGAAGAAATATTATAAAAATAGCTCGCCAGGCAAGGTAACATACGCCCACTACCAGCTGTCAGAAATGGTAACAAAATATTTAGTGGCATAATAATGAATTTACAAATAATCTTAAAATCATCTATAAGTCAAGGCAAAAACCTGAAACAGTTCATCAAGTATCATCAAATTCAAACATGAATAATGTCTCATTACTGTACAAACAAGGGCAATAACTCTGAAACGGTTCATCCAATTATTACCAATTTCTAACTTGACCGAGATCTCATTAATACATACATGCATACCAAGTTTCATCAAGATCAGATAAAAACTGAAGTCTCTATCATGCTTGCAGGCCTAATTTGAGAAGTTTTTACTGAGTCAAGGTCAATAACTCCGAAACAATTCATCCAATTATTACGAATTTCAAACTTGACCGAGATCTCAATACATACATGCATACCAAGTTTCGTCAAAATCAGATAAAAACTGTAGTCTCTATTTTGACTGCAAGCCAAATTTGACGCGTTTTTACTAAGTCAAGGGCAATAACTCTGAAACCCGTAATCCAAATAAATACCAATTTCGAACTTGACCGAGATCTCATCAATACATACAAGTTTCATCAAGATCATATAAAAACTGTTGTCTCTATCGTGCCTACAAGCAAACTTTGACGCGTTTTTACTAAGTCAAGGGCAATTACTCTGAAACCATTCATCCGATTATTACTAATTTCAAACTTGACCGAGATCTCATCAATACATACATGCATACCAAGTTTCATGAAGATCGGATAAAAACTGTAGCCTCTATCGCACCCACAAGGCAAATTTGAGGCGTTTTTTCGAAGTCAAGGGCAATAACTCTGAAACCGGTCATCCAATTATTACCAATTTCGAACTTGACCGAGATCTTGTCAATAGATACATGCATACCAAGTTTCATCAAGATCAGATAAAAACTGTAGCCTCTATCGCGCCTACAAGAAATGTGGACGGACGGACCGACAGACAGGGGCGACGGCAACATACATTTCCATTGGGGTGTATAAAAAGTAAACATATAGGCCTAAGTGTGCTTTATTTACCGTGACAGATTTTTCAGATTTACTCGAGTGTCAAATGGAATGCGCAAATACATTTGGGGTTTAAGGTCTACTTCTTTTGTATTTATATTTTCCACTGGTATTAAAATTGATAAAATCAAGAATCATTTAATTCAATGATACTATTCATAACTTTTATTAAACATTAAAAAATATTTTTAAAAAAGTGCTATACAGAAGAAATTACTCCACAAAATTTAAAAATGCTATGCAATTTCGGCCCAAAGAGCAAAAAACTGCTATGCAAATAAAAAAAGTAATTTGTACCCTGAAATTATATATGATGTCTGTGTTTAGTTACATTACTGAGTTATTAATAGTTATGCATAAGTCAATATCAACTGAAATGTTTTTAACTCCTTTATTTTCACCTAGGCAGTCGAGAAGAATAGAACTCTTAATAACAAGTGGTAGGTCTTGATTTATAATACAGGTAGTATATTTTTTTATGTTTTAAAATTAAATGTATAAAATAACACATACAATAAGTATGTATCTTTGATTTTATTCAATTTTCTGTAAATAATTAGCATTCACAGAGAAACCAAAGTACAAACTTTTACTTTTCTGCATCATGTGGACTAATGAAGATGTGTGACATTTTGCCAGAACTCCGGCATTAACCTACTCTTTTTCAATTTCCAACTGTCGAGGGATCTGCACAGCATGTAGCACAAGGGCCTCGGTTTATTTCCCACATGAATGACGATAGGCTTTTTCCATGTCAGCCCCTCTTGACCTGCATCACTGACAAGTCGAAACCGGGTGTCCATTATTTTTAAAAAGTTTCCATTGTTTTGGGGGTTTTTGGACACTTTTCTTTTTAGACAGCCTTTAATGTACACTTTGTACTTGAGGTAATTAAAAAAGACACACCAGATAAATTCTTCAAAAATTTGATATAATCTTAATGTCCAACCACAATGTTAACACAACAACATTTTGACCATCATTGTGATTCTGTGTCTATATTCTGTATCTATTCTTGGTTGGTAATTTTACTTCAAGTTATTTATCAATAATGAATACCTTTTTTTTCCTTTTTCAAACACAAACAATACAATGAGTAAACTGCTGAATAAAATAATCACAAATGCTTTCGATTTATGATGAAGAAAAAAGCTATCTATACTTACAATTTAATTGAATTTCACTGATAAATAAAATGATAACGAAAAGAAGGTAGGCATGGTCGTATTAATTTGACACATTTGGACCGGGTTACAGCCTTTCGTTATATTAAGATGCATAAATTTCTTGAATATACTGACAGCAGTGGAGCTGTGACAAATGATGGTTGAATTTTCTTTGATGAGGCCAGTATATATAGATCAAGTACAACTGATATGCAATGATAATACTTGTATAACCCATTTGAGTCATAACTTCTGCAATAGTTTATAAAAGCATGGTGTTATAAATATCAATTATACACTTGACAGACTAGACTATAACTTACATCAAAGGTGAGTGAAGAAATTTAATAGGATTATTATTTTCATTATCAAAAACTTAATTATATCTGAAAATATTTCTAAACTATGCTATTTACATCTATGATCAACTTTTGATTGTTTTATTAAAAAACTGTTGGTGTTGGGCCTCATATAGAAGACTCAATATTTTTAGTTAAAAACTTTAGAAAATGTAGGAGACATATTTCTCTACAATTGGCATTTATTTTGCACCAACCAAAATGCATAATGAACATATAAATAGCGATGGCCATTGTAATAATACAACCACAATTGTCATGGCAACCAAGCCAAATTCTACCAGTAACATTTTCATACTTCCAAGAGCTTTGTTCACAGTCTTTTTTTTCGATTTTAGATAGGTTCAATCTTGGCTCATGATAAACAATTTCACCAAGTAAAAATCTGTCATAAATTGTGCCTTTTAAAATGTTTACAAGCTTGAAATTGAATGCGTTTTCAAGAAGAAGGGCAATAACTCGTATCAAATATTTTCTGACGGACAGATGCCCATTCATTTGTGGGCGTATAAAAAGTTAAGATAAACTTTTGAAATAGTTTTGGTGTTAATAAATAAACAGCAGGATATTTTCTACTTTTTCTACATTTCTCTAGGTTTTGGTGTATTTTTTTACCAACGAAAATAATCATAATACCCCTTTTAAGATAGTTGAAAGTCAACGTCGGTGCTTATCTTCAAGTTAAATTATTTGGTTCAATATAATCAGTAAAAAGGTGTACCCAAGCCGGCACTAAAACATAATACTACCAAGGATAACCTCCCCACCCTTTGAGCCATGATAAAACGAGTTTCTCCCCGACAAAATTGTCGAAAAGTGAATTAAATCGGTCAGGTAAATAAGTAATAAATATCTAACATTCTTATGCAGGTGATTTGTGTGGGAGTAAAAAAAACGTCATTGACATGAGCAGGGACACAAGCGAATTTTTTGGGCTGGATGTCCCAAGCATAACATTATATGTTTGTATTTATTTGTGCGTGCCTCCTTGGTCCATTTGTTA